CACTTCCTCCATCTTAACTCTCACTAACTCTACAGGCGATGTTTCTGCTCAAGTCTGAAGTTGTCTATAAGTGAACCATTACAGGCAGTCTACAGATAACAGTACATTACAATAGCTCGAAGTTACAAATCATAAAACTGTAGCAATAATCTCATCAAGGAATTATCTACATATATAATCTATCATCATTAATTTTATCATTCATCATTTAAACATCATTTTTAAAAACCTGAGTAGCCACCCAAGCATATAGCTATATTTATTTCTAAACATATATTTATAATTATATATACAGTATTTATATAATTCATGTTTTATATTATAATTGACATTATAATTCTGTTTCATTCTATCCTAAATTTTAATCATGTTAAATTCATTTTTATTTCATTGTTATACTGATAAATTATCATCGATGAATCAGTAAATAAGTGATAATTTAACACAAACACACTTTTCAGTTTAAACACATTTCAGTTTGCTATTTCAAAATATTCAGCAATAGATTGTTCAGAATGAAGAAAAAACTCTTAGACACTTTCTAGTTGTCAAACTTTGTGGGACATGTTTATATGATAAACTTTGAAGACTTGATTCATCCACAAAATTTACCTCAAGACCAGCTGGTTTAAAAAATCTAAAAGTGTCTTAGGAAAGTAAGGTTAGTTCTGAGTGTTTGACAGTGCTACTTTGTTTGACATGTTCTATCTAATGCAATGAATCAAGTGTGACAGGATTTGTTTTGGCCACTATGCTTATACTATTGCTTATACTATTTTTTCACAATATCCATATTTAAAACTTTATAAACAGTAATCTCTTGCTTCTGCTAACTCTCGTAAACGCATTCACGAGAGAGTGGACTTCCAGCGGATGACGTAGGCATAGCGAAAGCTCCGTTGAGAATATGCTAGTCTCGTGAGAACCAAGTTTTGTTTACAGGAGCAAAGTAAGTTTCCTTTGTTTAGCAAAGGAAAACCAATCTCTTAAGTTGTTTATATCGAAATCCTCTGACATTTTTCTTTACAAATCCTCTTTTTGTACTTCTAATTCGTGACCGGTGTTTTGTTTTGCTCTCTCCTCTGCACTTCCGCGTTAGTCACTGCTTTCGCCTGTCATCCACTGGAACGCCCTCTCTCATGTACACGCATACGACAGTTAGCCAAAGCTAGAGATTACGGTTTCTAAAGTTTTAAATAGGGATATTTTTCTTACAAAAACACATCAATTCAATTCAGTTGACCTTTATTCACCCCCTGGAGCCATGTGGAATACTTTTTTATGATGGATGGATGCACTTTATTGGACTTCTATTGGACTATTGAATAGTAACACCCATTCACTGCCATTATAAAGCTTGGAAGAGCCAGGAGATTTTTTTAAATATAACTCTGACTGGATTTGACTGAAAGAAGAAAGTCATATACACCTAGGATAGCTTAAGGATGAGTAAGTCATGGGGTAAATTAAATTTTTGGGTGAACTATCCCTTTAAGCAATCATAACATTTAGGTGTCTGCCCATAATTCAACCATTTTTTAAGTCTTTATTATACAACATATTAGAGCACCTTTTATCACAGACCAGAGACAATGCAGGCCTCATCCAGCAAGATTCTAATCTGAGCTGCTGTGTCAACATTTTTTAAATAACTTCTAGCGATAAAACACGCCTTATCTCTCCACCCTGCCCAAATATATTAACGTGCAGGATTGAGCCCCGGCCCGGACTCAAATCCTCCCAGACTATTTCACAAAGGCCCAGACAGGAGCGGGAGGATCAGATTTAGCGTGACCTTCTCAATCACATCTTCAACTTCCTGCTGTAAGACAGGCCAGTGCACACCGATGGAGGCCAATGAACTCCGTCATTGTGACAGCAGTCAATCTATGAATAAAAGCCGCCCTCCGTGATGCTGTCTTAACAGGAAATGGGGAAACGGCTTAGGAATGATTTTTTTGTGATGGAAACCCATTATTTCAGATTGATCTAATCATGGCCGTTGGCTAAAGCTTTGACTCTTTGTTGACTTTACCGTAACTCTTAATTTCGCCAGATTTTCGCTTTCGGGGGGTGTGCTGAACATCCTTCTCTCTCTTCTCCGTTTTGTTGAGTAACACTGCAGTTCCACGTTTTATTTTCTCATTTCTAGACTTTTATTTATTTATTCATTTTCTTCAGCGTCAGCAATGCGGGGAACAGCTGAACACGTCTTCATTTAAATAGGCTTCCTCTAGTACGAAGGCAACATTCAGAGCAGCTATTCATAACTACCAGAATAATTTTATTCACACTCGGCTTGAATTGCTACGGAGAGAGATAAGGGGCTGAGGAAATGGCAGAGTCAATTGGTGTAAACAGATAATGACTGAGCCACTGGCTCGAGAGCCGCTTACCGTATAGACGTAGGAGCGATGTAGCGCGCACACTGACAGCACACTTACAGGGATAATAAAAAAATAACAGACGAGATGCGGCACTCAGATTAATCACCCACATTTTGCCAACAATTGCGTCATCAAATTTATTAGACACGAATTTAATAGACAAGAACTCACTCGTGTTTGAAGCCTAATGGCGAAGTGTGTGCTTTCCCAAACACTCAGCAAAGAACAAAGACTCGCATGTAGGACACACAATCACACAGCATTTAAGGAAAACAAAGCTAATTGCTGAGAGCTGGGCGAAGCATTGAGAAAAGTGTATACATATTTATAAATGGTGACGTAGGAACAAAACACCAAATTACAGAGCCTCTCACTGGGTGGTCTATTTGAAATGCATGATTCTCCTTGTGAATGACTAATTTGCCCAATTAGTTTAGGCCTAATTCCATTCTTACTCACTAGTGCACACTATAACGTTTAGACCTAATTATTTACACCGTTTTGTGGGCACGCTAATTACAATCAGATCTCAATTTCTTAATTATCTCATTAGAAATGTAAAACTTTTGAAGTGACTGTGTAGGACAGCAGTCTTTTTGGTTTCAATTTTTGGGCCCCCTGAATGTATTCAGAAACATCTTTAGATAGATGTTTCTCTCAGTACAGATTTCTATGAAAGCTTTCACTCTCTACGGTTCCTAGCACAAGTGCTCGATGGTTAGCAGCAGTTAATTTAGATTGTAAGTGTTTAATCAGGGTGAAATTGTTCTTCCTCGTAATGGTCCCTGCTAGAGATAAAAGTGATTGAGCGTAAAGACCTCCTTAAGCATGTGTTCATGGTTAAAGGCAGAATAAAAAAGATGGGAGTTACTTACCAGTAGGGACAAATTGAACTAATTTTGTTAGTGCAGCAGTATATCTGCTGCATTTTGTGTGGCAAATATAAAGCACTAAAAGCAGTCCGATGTGAAAGGGCAAAGACCCAAGTTTTATTTTCCAAAAAGGCCCTTTTTACTTTCATTTTTGAATCTTCTTATCTTTCACCAAAGTCCATCAGTGTGCATCAGGGGTCTTCAACCTTTTTCAGACCAAAGATCCCTTGGTGAATAGTTTATTATTAATAATAATAGAATTGAAAATTAGATATTTTATCAAACTGAGTGTTGTATTTTAATTGGGTGACTGTACATCCACCTTTTCCCAAACAAATCCTAGCTGGAATTTCTAAATTGCTTAAAATGTCTGGGTTTTGGCCTTGTTTTCCAACTGACGTGCTCTCTACAGTTCTCACACTTCTCTGTCGATCCCACGATTGGACGATTATGTAGATTGCCTGCACGCTACTGGGCACTCTACTTTTTAGTCATTACCTTCAGCATGCATGAACAATAGCTAATCAAAGTCAAAACCCAGACATTTAAGGCAATTTAGAAATAAAAAGAGGAAGTGTGGTCACCCTTAAGCCTGGCCTCTGTGTATATACCATATAGATGTTATACTGTGTATATATATATATATATATATATATGTATATATATATATATATATATATATATATATATATATGAAGAGTTCAGATGCAAAAGCCTCTAAGTGCCGTCTGAAATTTTCTTCTAAAATGAGAATTTTTATCAGGCTCCTACATTTATTTTTGGCTATTTCACTTTAATTGCATAGAAAAGGACCTATACATTGCCATTAGAGTAAAATCACTGAACCTACACATAGCAGCCTGATAGCAATGCTCATTTTAGTCTATATATTTAGCTCATTATAGTCTAGGCTTAAAATGCAACATTCTACAGTATGTAATTATGTATGCGTAGCTAAAGTTCAACTGAGTGTTTACTTTTCAAGTTTTGCTTTAAGTTCTCTTGAATTTGTTTCTAAAAACACATTTTAATTTTTTACTAAATATTTAGTGCTCACTTATTGCCTTTAAATGTTACTCCTATCATGTCTGTAGGTGTGAGTTGACTGAAACCTTTGAAACTGCTACACCAAATAATTAATTCTACAGATGTCATCTAAAATAATAATTAGATGAGCAGATCACACAGGTACATAAACTGCATGACCCCAAAACTTCATAGTATTTCCAAGTCAATGAGAATTAGAGAGATTGACAGAGCATCTGGATGAGGGAAAACAAGGTGGGGTTCGCATCTGTCTCCACCCAGTAGTCTCAAGCAAGCTGTCTCCATATACCATGACAGATGACAGAGACACCTGGGCCTGTTACCCCGCTGCGTGCACAAGGCTCATATACCTCTGAGGTTAAACAGAGTGTGTGAGTTGATTGCTAAGTTGAGAACAACAGCATAGATGTGTGAGGACATGGATGCATACATTGTGGGTATCTGACTCTTCCATCCTCGAAAAGACACGCACACTTTCTCATCCTACTCCCCACTGCAATCAGTAATCCCATTTAACAAGGTTTACTGGGCTGCATAAACAAGTGAAGGTCTCTCTCACTGAAAAAAGGACTAGCCTAACATCTGGCTGGCTCTTTCCCAAACACCAGGGGACAACCCACTCACTTTGATATACCAATTAGCATCTTTTCAGGCCCTTTTTAAGTTCCTTGAACCGAGTGAAATGCTGTCAAACTGCTCTCTTCCACAATGAATATTCAACTAGCAACTAGCGTCAGAGAAAATCAGAGCCATAGCAAACAACTAATAAGTTTCAATAGAACAATCCCCAAAACCACAGGGAGGTTATTTAAAAGACTGGATCCCTAAAGACTAAATACAAACTGAGAAAACAATTTGATGGCAATTATTTCACATAGAACATGTGAATAAAAACGAGAGATGCCGTGCAGCGGGATGCAAAGAACACAGGGTCTCGAAACATTTAAATTGACATGGCATCTTCAAAACATGTCACTCTTGAGCAAGAAGCAGGGCATGTGCCAGTACCCACACTCATATTGGCCACTTGAGATCTTTTTAACACTTAATTAGAAGCATCACACTTACCAAATTGCGGGTGTTACATAGGGACTATTTAACATACATTTAAATGTTTATTTTAAATTGCAAAGTATCAAAAAATTAAAATGTGTAAATAAACTGTAAACTTTTTTTGCATTTCTACAACTCTATAAGGGTGTGCTTACACTTGTAGTTTGGTTTTCTTGCTTCTTTTGGTCCAGACCAAAGAAAAAGTACAACAAATGGTTTGCTTGTTGTTGTCATTTTTAACACCAAACCTCAAGATATAAAACACGATACGTTCAAAACTTGACTGGACAGCTTTTATGATGTGTATTTTGTGAACTTACCGAACATTTTCAAAGCTGCTGTGTGCTGGGTTAAATGTGCTCGTTGTATGTGTATACGTGATGGTATTTTTGCCAGGTTATAACTCACAAAGAGCTTATAAAATGTGTAAAGGAGTCAAAACTATGCCAGGAATTCCTCTGTTGCTCACACAGAGATCTGCTGTAGGTAGACGGCAGTACCGATGCCTGTACCAAACTGTAATGGGCAAAATTGCTCATATGTTATACTCTAAATAAAGAATTTAAAATAATTTTATTCCCCTAAAAATATAGAAAGATTTCTATCAAACGATACCTACCTTTTGACTCTCTTTGCTACGGTTTTGGAGTTATGACTCGAGTCATTACTTTTGTGTATGTCACGAAAACAGATTTTAAAATGCCTTCAGGGTGTCAAGGGCTAAACAAACAGGTTTCCTTTGCTCCAAAATGCTGTAACATTTGATCACTTCATGATATCACCACAAAATTTAATTCACTCACAGGTAACATGTTGGGGAACAACACCAAAAAAAGAATTTCTCCCCTACCTTATTTCTTTCCTGAGATATTGAATGTCAAATAAAACAGATATGTAAAATTTCCCTTGAGCACACAAATTTAGCTTACACTTTTATCAGCGATTTCTCAGTAGGAGATTGTCCAAATGTAAAGATTTTTTTTCCCTAAAACTACGGAAAGTTTTCAAATGATACCAACCTTTGATGATACCTGACTCTCCTTGCTACAGTTATGGGTCATTATTTTTGTGAAAGTCACTCTGAAAAAACAACACCCTCAGGGAGGCAAAAATGCCTTCAGGGCTTAATGGCTTAAGAAGCATTTTTTAAAGTTGCACTTATTTTACCTTGAGTGCCGAGATGCTGCAAAAGATGCAATAAGTGAGCATGACATATGTCTAGTGTGTGTTTACATAGAAAACAATTAAAACAGCTCAGTGGGATGCATTCTGTGTGAACTGTTTGTTAATTTGCTATTCGTTTTCAGTCATAACTGCCACATGGAGCAGGTCATAGAACAGGGACAGGTTTTAGGACTTACTAATGAAGATAAACAGACCAAGACTAAGGCATCATATGTTTGCCACACAAACTAAATCAAGTATTTAACAGCCTGTGAGTTAGACACAGTAATTTGTTATTCTAGTTCAAATTCATCTCTCTTATGAGACGGCCGTCTTATCCAAGGCTGTTAGCAAAATCTCAAGAGCAAGATGACAAGATCTGGGCTCCAAATATGCCAATTGACATGGGCCAAAAAATTTTCACAACGCCAAGAGCAGATTTTCTCTTATAAGCACTGGGTTACCATTACTCATAGTGTTTACCAGGGACTAGCTTAGGGGAAAAGGTACTGTATGTGGACAAATGATCACAGTAAATCAGGTCATGGCAAAGTATTGCCCCATCACTTCTGATGTTTGTTGAAAATGCTGTCGCTTTCTGTTTTCTCGGCGCATATTCTGACCCTGAGCAGGGCGCAGTGGGCCAGACCCCTCCATCACTCCCATCCACATAGTCCTGCTCCTTTCTCATGGGCCTCTGAAGCCCCCAAGGAATGTGACACTGACACACATGATTCACCGTATGGTTTAATGTCAGCTGCCAACACACATAGCACACCGCAATGAATCAGAGCTATATTTCATCCCACTCAGCTATGAAGAGCTTGAAGGCATCTCCACTTTCACTGGGCTGTGTATGAATATATATGATACCCCTCATGGCTCCTCTTGTCAAGTTTGTCACAGATATATTTATCGAGGTGTGATAAAGTGGAGGAATGCACATCATGTCTGGGAGTTGTCCTGCACCCCAGTCGGCGTGATAAAATGCTCAAGTTTTCAGGAACCAGCTATTGATTCAGCTATTTATTTCTGCCTGTCTGATGCTAAATGATCGCACCAGTGTCTGTGTTTTTATAAAATATATTAAATACATCTTATCAGTTAAGGAGAGTAATAACAATACAAATAATATTTTTATACATGTATACTAAAGTGTTACGTAACAAGCAGTAAACGAACATAAGAATGTTGGCAAATAATTAATTAATTTGATTAAATTATTGTGTTTTATGTACACTAAAATTCGAAAGTAAGGAGCTGATAAGAATTTTTAAAAATGTTTTGGAAAGAATGTTTTTCAAGGTTGCATCTACTTGATAAAAGTAAAAACAGTAAACTGTGAAATATTATTACAATTTAAAGTTACTGTTTTCTATTTTAATATATTTATAATATAATGTATTCCTGTGATGGCAAAGCTGTATTTTCAGCTGCCATTACTCCAGTCTTCAGTGTCACATGATCTGTTAGATGTCTAATATGCTGATTTGCTGCTCAATGGTATTTTGTTGATTATATATTAGAGATAAATTGGATATATTTTATGAAAATGTCAATGTACATAACACCCCAAAAAATATTTTTTGAAGATTTTTTTCCACATAACACCAATTTATCGGTGCGCTCTCTCTCTCTCTATATATATATGTATATATAGCATTAATAATATAATATTTCATAAAATTGGTTGCGACAGTATCGATCCTAGCAAAAAGCAGTGCATGCATGTCATCCCACTCGCAAATTACGCCTTGGATTCACATTATTTGCCTCAAATCAGCACAGATTTTTCTTCTGCCAGTTTATTCTAAGCAGAGTCTCATTAACTCGTGAACTAAGCAGCTGACTTAAATGGGGGGTGAGATGTCAGCTTCTTTATGTCTTTTCATGGTTTATGAAATTGATATGTTGATTAAAACAAGTTTATATATTTTTTATATAATTATTATTGATATAACATTTTGTATATGTACGTCATTGCGTGTTTGCGTAAAAGAGCAGGTGAATCAGTTTTTGAACCGGTTTGTTGAAACGTCCTACCCGAAAGAATCAATTCGACCAAAAGAAGAATCATATTTCCATACTACTGTCACTGACTGACCACATCTTCTTCCGCTTATCAAAGTAGTTCTGCTCAGTTTAGTGTTTTATTACGCATTTATTCCCACAGTATCGTTTCATAATGTGATATAATAATATAATAATACGCTAATATCTAAATTACAAAAATTAAGACTTTGAATATTCGAACTCAAGGAATTCCCGCCCTGACGCAAGGATACGTTCTCCTCTAAGCACGCAGTGGGGCTGCTGCGCGCGCGAAAGGAATCACCTTCAGATTTGCGTTCAATTTTCGATGTGAGGTGAAAATAAGGAGGTAAGTTAAAGTACATGTTTTCTAATTTGGTTATGCTACTTCTACTATATTTGAGTCCTAGCATTTAGAATGTTTACCTTTTTGAATCGTTAAACCAGTGTGTGTTTCAAACTTCGGCGCTGACCAGTACCGTTAGTCATTTAAAATCTTCAAAAAGTTTAAAATTTAGGTTTCATTAGATGGTACTGTGTAGTTTTTCTTTCTTTTTGTTAGATTTTATCCGAATCTTACTACATAATTTAGTAGTTTTAGGTTTCGTTACCAAGTAGGCTAACTGCTATATTGTCCCTGAGGGAAAAACAGGCTCGTTTTGCGGAAAATTTGGTCGTTAGCTTGTTGTCTACGATACTGTTATTAGAAAGATGTGTCATTTGTGTTTTAATAACGTTTAGCTCAGGAGTTATTGATCAGGTAAGTTCGAATCTATGAATATGTTGCCAACTTGACCGAACTTCGACGCATAGTGCAATATTTTTAATCAGTTTTTATATACATAATCGTAGGCGTCGTCTAAAAGCTCTAAAATGCTATTTTCCGAGTCGAGGTTGGATGAAAGTTCTTAATTCAGAAACAGATTAATTAGGACCAGCGCTTAAAGTGACCCAACCCCTCCCAGCGCGATTTGAACGTTAGTAACTTTATGTTCGTCGGCACTTTTTCCCTCTTCAAGCACTGGTTATTACGCCTGTATAATGAAATTCGCTTAACTAACATCAGTTGGACTGCACGTTTTACTTTCAGATATAATCACACTGATGATCTGAACTATCGTATGTACAGTCAGGCCTGGGTGTCTGCATAGGGCATAGGCACGTATCCCTCCTCATTAAAACCTTGTATCTCCATATTAAGTCACTTTTTAATAAATTATTTATTATTTATACTTCAGCGAGAGAGGACCAGATGTTCCATGAAGTGGATCAGACAACCTTGCCCTCTGAAGTAGACTGTGCCAAACTTCCAAGTACACCCTGCATAATTGTGTGTGGTATGTTTGAATATTTTTAAAGGAAAACTATTTAATATTTGCGGGAATTTAAGTTTGTCACAGTGTTACTGATCTCTTCTTTTTCTTATGCATAACTAATTGTGTGTGAATATTTTTAAAGGAAAACTATTTAATATTTGCGGGAATTTAAGTTTGTCACAGTGTTCACAGTGTTATCTTTTTCTTATGCATAACAACAGGAAGTTCCCCTTTGACTGCAGAGAACTTTATGTTTTCTGTCAACCAAGTCATAGTTAACAGCCACATCACCATCTTCTGCGATAGTCTGAAATTGATGTTTGCCTCATACTACTGCTTGAATATTTCATACCCATGAGACCAAGGAGCAACGCTAGAGTTCGTGCAAAGGTAAAAACACACTCATACTCTCACTCTCACACGCATTACATACACACACTCACACATGTCCTCACACACACTCACTCTCGCAAACACTTTTTCAACACACACTCACTTCACACACATCCTCACATACACTCACTCTCACAAACACTTTTTCAACACACACTCAGTTCACACACATCCTCACATACACTCACTCTCACAAACACTTTTTCAACACACACTCAGTTCACACACATCCTCACATACACTCACTCTCACAAACACTTTTTCAACACACACTCAGTTCACACACATCCTCACATACACTCACTCTCACAAACACTTTTTCAACACACACTCACTTC